TACATAATTGAACGTAGAGATCGTAAGTTTCCGTAACTAGATTTCAATGTACTAATTCGTATGAAATCTAATCACGGAATTAAATACGCTTCTCTATATATTTCGTCTACGAAGTGAAGTAGGTCATTTTTCCCATCCTACGTTGGTCCGTTTGTTCGTTCGTTCGTTCGTTTAGTGATTGTTGCGTTCGTTCGTTCGTTCGTTCGTTGGTCCGTCCGTCCGTCCGTCCGTCCGTCCGTCCGTTCGTTCGTTCGTTCGTTTGTTTGTTTGTTCGTTCGTTTGTTCGTTTGTTCGTTTGTTCGTTCGTTTGTTTTTTCGTTCGTTCGTTCGTTCGCTCGTTTGTTCGTTCGTTCGTTCGTTCGTTCGTTCGTTTGTTTGTTCCTTGGTTCGTTCGTTCGTTCGTTTTTTCGTTCGTTCGTTCGTTCGTTTGTTCGTTCATTCATTTGTCCGTCCATTCGTTCGTTTGTTCGATCGACCGATCGATCGTTTCTTCCCCTAGTTCGTACGTTTGCTAATTCGTTCAATCGTCTCTTCGTACTTTCGTTCGTTTGTTCGTTCCTCAATTCGTTCCTTCGTTCGCTCTTTCGGCTGTAAGGACGTTCATTCGATCGCACGTTTTCCTCTAGTTTGTACATTCGTTCGTTCGGTCGGCCGGTTGGTCGGGTAGTCGTGCTTTAGTTTTTAAAATTCATTAATTTATCCGAGATCGTTCTCGCTTAACCAACCTTTGCAGATAGCGCTTCTTGTGGTACTAGCGAAATGCTTCAGATCAGCAAACTCCGACCTCAATATATGCTCCTCGTTGGGATTTGTAACTAGATGGTTTATCTGGGATAAGCTGTAATTGGATCCCAAAACCAAACCGATGATGGTCACGTGATTCTGTTGAAGCAATGCAGCAGGCACTGCGTATTCATCCTCAGCCTTCCCAGCGATCATAGCGACGACAATTGAAACCTTGGAATCATCAAACTTTGCTTCTTCCGACGATTTGATCAATGCTTTTCCTAAGTTCTTGTACTTTCCCAAGGAATAATTAGCCGTTCGTAATACATGTGAAAAGTCGGAGAAGCTGGATTCTTGTCCCGGTTTAATCAGATAATGGGCATCTGAGCCATAGGCGATAACACCGATGTTTTTGAAATCGAGAGTTGAAGCAACAGTGATAATGAACTCCACTTGACGTTTTATGTTATCTTCTCCGACGTTACGTGAACTGTCAAGCAGAAAAACCACAGTGGACTCCTTAGTGCAG